CAGAAGGGGGCATGGGGGGCAGAGGCAGGCCTCCCGGCGGGGGCGGGGGCAGAGACTCAGGCAGTGGTGGCCTGGGGGGCAGACCATTCATCAGTGGGGGTGGGGGTCGCTTCACCCCAGGGGGCCCTGCGGGGAGGCTGGGTGGAGCCGGGGGCTTCTCCATCTTGAAGTGGAACTGGAGGAAGAACTAGAAGGGAGAGGGCAGGCTCAGCGGGCTGGGTCCCCAGGACTGCACACCCCAACCACCCAGCACTGGCACCCACCTGCTTGGTTTCCCGGTTCCAGTGAGTCCAGAATTTGCCTTCGGCCTTGTCGATCTCTCTGCTGGGCACCTGGTGGGAGCGGGAAGGGTGACAGGGCTCCTGGTCCCCACATCCTTCAAGGCCACAGCACCAAGGCTGGAGAGCTCCAGCTCAGGCAAGAGCTCGGCAGTTGGGGCACCTGTTCCCCTCGCTGGGCCCCTCCTGAGGAGCTCCGGGGAACAACACTGGGATGGAATCCAGAGCCTTGCACACTAGGCAAATGCTCACCACTGTGCTGCATCTCCCACCCCTTTTCAGGGTTTTGTTGTACTAATTTTTGGGTTTTCTTCCAGAGGTCTTGCTATATTCAGGCTGGCCTTGAACTCATGGTGATCCTACTGCCTCAGCCTCCTGAATAGTTGTGCCACTTGGCCTCCTAAGGCCTTTTTGTGGGCTGTGGGCTTGATTTGGGAGCAGAACAGACTGGATTTAATCTCAGCTGTTACTTAACTAGTCTCTTGGCCTTGGGAGGTCAGAGTTCACATTACTTACTTTGTTGCTGCTGTACTGGGTTACAGCAGTCACCCATCCTGGCCTGGCCCCTGGGGTAAGGTGGCATGGATTCACAAATCTGGGCCCACACCAGCACTCCCACTTCTCTGGGGACAAGGAGTCCCAAGGCAGCCTTCACAGGCCAGGGTGCAACCTGGCAGGGACATGCAGCCTGCAGCGGGCAGCAGCTGCCCACACGGAGCTCCTACCTCCCCATCTCAGGGCCGTGGGCAGGTGACCACGCTACCTTGAAGGCAATGGTCTCGTAGGGCTCCGCGGCCATCAGCAAGTACTGCCAGCGGCGGTCTGGGGGCTCAATCCTCTGCTCATAGGCAGACATGAAGCGGTGGCGGGGCATGATGCCCTCGGCGATCTCAGGGTAGTCGATCTGGGAGGACACAGCCAGTTGTGGGGGGGCCCTGGGCCTCCCTACACACCCAAGACCCAAGCCCTGGTCTTACCTGGAACAAGAGGCTCTGCTGGCCCATCTCTGTGTCCCTCTGCTTGGTCACTGCAACACAAGAGGGTCAGGCCCAAGAACTCGTCTCTCCTGAAGCCCAGGGCCCTGGCACGGTCTAATGCCACCCATGGAATGGGAGTGGGATGTGGAGAGGTGCCTAGGCCAGTGAAGGGGGTACTGGTGGCCCCAGAAATACCTGAAGTGGGGGTGGCAGGTGGGCTGAGGGGAGTGGGTCTCACTGTACAAGATAGGGCCTGACGGTGACAGGGATGTGACCACCCCTGGTGACAGTACTGAGGGATAAGGGTGAGGGGGACCTGCCTAGAAGGCCAGAGTGGCATTCTGGGACCCAGGGTCCACAAAAAGCTCATTTGCATGGCGGTGGCAGCGGTGGGCAGATGCCCGCACACACCTTTGTAGCCAGGACGGCCAATCTTCACAAACTTCTTTACCTCCACCTTGACCTTCTCGGGCGCTGGCTGGGCGGGGGCTTCCTTGGCCTCCTTGGCCGCTCGCCGGGCCCTGTGGGGAGGACAGATAGGGCGCTGTGGCCTTCTCCATGGGATACCAAGGCCACAAGCCCAGGTGCTGGAGCCAGCCTGACCTTGGAGCTCATTGGTAAGGTGAGGGACAGGGCGAGGGAGACTCGGGGGTTGGAAGGAAGCAGAACAGGGGCGGCCCTCCCTAGTCAGGACCAGGCTGGCTCAAGACCACTGCTGAGCCAGGGTCCCTTTCCTGAATGCCAGCAGGGCACGTGGATGGATGCTGGTAGCTGCATGGGAGGCTGAACACTCACAGGTTGGTCTGGTGCTTCTTCCCCTGGGTATGTGCCAGGTAGCTCCCCTGGGGAGGGAAAGAAGCACCATCAGGGCTCAGGGAGCACCTCACAGCCCCTCCCTGAAGCACAGGATGGGACAAACAGGGCCTGCTGCTCCACACAGGCACTGGAGGGCTGGGTCAGGGCAGGGTCTGGCCGTGGTGACTCATCAAGTTCTGGGGGTTCTGCCTGTGTGGGGCAGCGTGCACCTGTGAAAAGCTGCAGACCCAGGAGCTGGGCTGCACGGGGACCTGCTGGGGACAGCTATGCAGCCACTTCTGGTAACACTGCCAACAAACACACCCTCTGACCCACATTTGGCAGGGAGCGGGTAGAAGCCAGGGACGCTGCTCAGCACCCAGGATGCCCCGTAGAGCATGAGGTGACCCCAGCATGCACAGGACAGCACAAGAGCGAGCAGACAGGACACCCTCCTGTACCATCTAGGCCAACTCGTACAGATCCCAAGTCTGGCGTGCAGATGGCCTGCGTCAACACCCCAGGCTGTCACTCAGCCGATCTCACAGCCCCAAGCAGAAGGACCAGAAACCACACCAACCTCCCTGAACCTCAGAAAGATTCAGAGGAAAGGCCTGCCCAGAGGGTACAGATGGTGCTGGCTGCACTCCTTAGACACACACGAAAGTGACAGCACCAACAGAGGACTGGACAGTCAGTCACCCGGCAAGTCCACCAGGGAGAAGAACTCCAGGTGCTGAGGGGGTGAGACGCAGGTGGGGACCGAGGAGGCTTGGCCAACACCTGCAGCCCTTGACGTCTTTCACAGAAAGATGCCCTGAAGCAAATGGGCCGCCAGTTCTGAGCGGAGGGTCCCAGGCTAACCCGCTCTGTCCTCTCAAATGACAGTGAAAAGGGCCCCAAGAGGTCAGGTATGGGGCTGGGGTGTGCAGGGCCGGTGCCAGAGCGGAGTCTTAATGTACCTCGTTGTTGTGAAGGGTCAGGCAGAGCTTGCACTCGTAGGATCCCAGGTGGTTTTTCATGAAATATGGGTCCTGGGAGGTGAACAGATCATCCATCATACAGCAGAAAATCACTGCCCTGTGGTCAGGACCGAGGCTGGGAAGGCTGGGAGCTGCTGCCCCCTGCTCAGTGACAATGGGAAGAGCCCAACAGTGCCCCTCTTTGGGGTCAGCCCACCTTATTGATGTCGATGGTCTCCAGCGCCAGCTGCCGGAGGCGCTCCCTGCGGTCCCGGTTGCTCTCGGAGGAGGAGGCCACACCTCCACTGCCCGTCTTGCCCCCGGGGCGGTGCTGGAAATCCATGGTGAAGGCCTGAGGGCTTCACAGTGCGACCAGGAGAGAAACTGCAAATGCGAATATGGGACAGGGACAGCTCTGGAGATCATGGCCGCTGCCCACCACTGTGGCACACTGTAGCCAGGCAGCAACAAGGACACTGAACTGGCTTCAGAGACTGATGTGGGGCCGAGGGGGTCATTGGGACACCTCCCAGGAACCACGGCGGAGGCAGGGAGCAGGTCACTCCAACCCCCAGAGCACTGAGACAGGGACTGGAAATGGCAATGGAGTCCCCAGCAGAAGGCAGCCAGAGAAGACGAGGCCAGCCTGAAGGGAGCCTTCCCCGACTGACCAAGCCCCCACTTTACTCCTCCTGAGTTTTCTTTCCAGCTGGAAAGAAACTAACTCCACTCATCAAAAAGTAATTCTAAGCTGGGTGTGGTGGCACACGCCTATAATCCCAGCACTCGGGAGGCTGAGGCAGGAGGATCGGCTGTGAGTTCGAGACCAGCCTGGGCTACATAGTGAGCTCCAGGTCAGTCTCAAGTACATAAGGGAGACCCTGTCTCAAAAAACAAAACAAAACAAACAAACAAAACAACTCCAGGGCCGGGGATTCAGCTCAGTGGTTCTACCACCTGCCTTGCAAGCGCAGGGACCCGAGTTCAATCCAAAAAAAAAAACCTAACTCCATTTCAGTGGAAGTTATCTAACTGTGGATTCTGCTGCCTAACACACAGGAGGGTCTCAGCAGCTGTTTACATCCAAGGAAGGGTGCTAAGAGCCTCTTCCACACCCCTGTGACCATCCTGCAACTCTCTTCCTATATTCTATCAGGCTCAGTCAAAGCCAAGCGCCAGGTGGCTTTCTCTGATCACTCAACACTGGCCCCTGAAGTCTTCAATGTTGGCCCCAGGCCCTGGCTTTACCCCGGTTGAGCTCAGAGACAAAGCCCAGGAAGACAAACGTGTTATACTCCTGTAAGATATCCTCATTCTCCTTCCCAAACCTATGGTATCATTTGATACAGCAGGAAGGATTTCACAAAGGGGATCACAGAGCTTGATGGGGCGGGGCCTGTTCTGTAGCAGCGATAGCCCAATGTCATTACAGGATACCCACAAACGGGTGGCAGAAGGGTCAGAGTCAGACAAAGAGAGGGATGGCGGAGGGAGGAAGGGAGGGAGAGAGAGATAGAGACTGGAAGATGCCAGTGTGGCTCCAAAAATGCAGTTGCAGGAAGGAATTGCAAGCTGAGGGACAAGTGCACCTCTAGGAGCTGCAAAAATGCAGGACACAGACTCTGTCCTGGAGCCTCTCAAAGAACCAGCCCATTTTACACCCAGCCAAAATTCTAGGTATGTGAGTAAACAGGCTGTCCACAGACAGCTACTTGGGAGAGCAGGGGCTCCAAGTTTCCAGCGGCTCTGTCCTGCAGGGCCGGACGGCACCCAGTCCAAGTAGAGTGCAGAATGGGAAATCAATTTATTTAAATCTGGGGAAGACACAATGAGTACATGAGATGTTGAGGTTTAAAGAAAAAAAATCAAAGATATGAAAAAAACACAATTGATGATAAAACTGAAGTTAACTGATTTTTGGAAGACACAGTACGGCACCAGAAAAGCACCTGAAGCCAGGTGTGGTGATACATGCCCGTAGTCCCAGCACTCAAGAGGCTGAGGCAGGAGAACTGCCATGAGTTCAAGGCCAGCCTGGGCTACATAGTGATCTCAAGGGCAGCCTGAGCTACACAACTCAGTCTCAAAACAACAGCAACAACAACTACAAAAACCCACAAAACAAAGAGAAGCAGCCTGGTTAAACACATTATTTGTTTTAGCACTGAACAATATTTTCATCTTTACAAAACACAACGATGAGGATGTGATGGACTTGCAGGGACGGTGAGGGACGTGAGACTTCACCATAATAGGAAATCAGCAGATGCCACCTGAAAATGGATACACTTATAATCCTGGCATGGTGGTGCACCCCTGTCATCCCAGGAAAATGAGACCAGCACGGTCAACTTGTGAGACCTTGTCTCAAAATAAATAGTGTTGAGGCTGTAGCTCAGTGTGAAGGCCCTGGGTTCAATCCCCAGTACCACCACAAAAGCGTGCGTGCGTGTGTGTTTGCAAAGAGCAGGGGAACAGTTTCCAAGAATTGAGGAGGTGGCCTCTGGACCTCGACTTAGGTCTGGGATTCTTTTTTTGGCAATGGGGGACTGAACCGAGGACCTTTGCGCTGAACTACATCTCCAGCTTTTTTTTTTTTTTTTTTGAGTCAGAGTCTAAGTTGACCAGGCTTGGCTCGAGCTCGAAACTGTCCTGCCTCAGCCTCTCAGAAAGCAATCTATTTTACAGAGGTCCTCCTGGCTCTTCCGTTCTGCGACGCCCGGGGTGCATTGCAAAGTGGGACCACCTCACCTAATGGGTTATCGCTTTCGGCGCGGGGCGGACGCTAGGGCCCGGGATTTACAGGTAAAGGACCTGAAGCGCTCACAGGGAGTTAACTGATCCGCCAAGACCCAAAGTCAGACCAATAGCGAAGTTCTCCGAGGGGACCTGTGGGACAAAGCAGCCACGACTCTGACACGCCTTCAGAGAGGGAGCTCCGGGGCGCGCCGCCCGCCCGCGAGGCCCACCACGTGCTCCTCCATCTCACGCGCGCCCTTCCCCGGTAAACCCCAGGGCCGCGACGGGCCGCTTCCTTCAGCACAGGATACTTCTCACCTAGGACGGAGGCCGCGCAGCCGAGAGACAACCGCCACGACTTCGTAGTGCGCACGCGCGCTTAGAGCTAAGGAACTACTTCCGGGGGTAACGGACTAGGGTCTCACAAGTGCGCATGCCCAGTCCGCCCTGTGGCCCGGATGGATACTCCGGCGGCGGGAGGTAAGACAGACCGAGACGAAAGCGCGGGCTAGACACAGAGGTGCGCGTGCGCACAACACTCAACTAAATGTAGTAGATTCCAGGTGGCGGGGACCAGCTCTCGCGAGAGAACGAGCTGAGCCTCTTTAATAAATTACTGCTCCCCAACTTCGCCTGTCTATACAGGGAAGGGGCCAGGAAATTGAGGGCGGGCAGAACCAACCAAAGAGAAGGCCTATCGGCCGTGTGGGTGCTGTGAATCTGTCCCACTCCAAATTCAGTGTATTTTATGGTTATATACAGACCCTCAATTTCCTGTACTACTTGTCCACGCTGCGCCCGCACGCTCGCGCCACCCAGCGGTGGAATGTTGGAACGGCCGACCAACAACGCGTAGGCTCCATAGCTTTGGCGGTGCTTCCGGATTGGTGCCCTGAGACTTTTGTGGCGCAGGCCGCGGTAGAACCCGGGACGGTGGCCGGGAAGGAGTGCGAGGCGAACCAGTCCGCGTTCTCTTTCCCGGATCCTCACGGCTGCTACTATGCGGTACAACGAGAAGGAGCTACGGGCCCTGTCGCAGCAGCCGGCCGAGATGGCGGCCGAGTTGAGCATGCGAGGACCCAAAAAAGGCAGCGGTGAGCGGTTTCGGGCCAGCGACTGGGTCAGGACGGAACGGGGTGAGGGCGGGGGTCCCCCGGCCAAGCTGAGCCCCGCCCTGTGCCCCGCAGTGGCCAAGAGGAGGCTGGTGAAGCTGGTTGTCAACTTCCTGTTCTACTTCCGCACCGACGAGGCTGAGGTAGGGGCGTGAGGGCCGCGGGGGGCCCGCGCGGGCGGGCGGCCAGCGCTCATGGCCGTGTCTTGCGCAGCCCCTCGGAGCCCTACTTCTGGAGCGCTGCCGAGTCGCGCAGGAAGAGCCCGGAGGCTTCTCCATCAGTGAGTGGCTCCCGCCGTCCCCTCCCCGGCCAGGCTGCTCCGTCCCTGGACACAAGAGCCTCTTTGACGGTCCTCGGGCGGCCCAAGGTCAGGTCCTGGCCGCCCGCCCGGCGCACCTGCCTAGCCACCTCTGGCTGGGCTCCTGCCCACGCCTCCCGCCTCGCCCTGGATTCTTTTCTCCTGCGTGGGCCCTCGGCCAGCCCCGCCCAGCTGCTGCTCCACCTGCCGCCCGGAACGCCCCGGGACCTTGGTTTTGGTTGTTTCTCCCCTTCCTGTTAGCCAGATGCTGGATACCCAGGAGAGAGGGATGGACCTGCCGGTCACCTGTCATCTTTAGGAGATTCAGGTCTGCAGGGGAAGATGGACCCGGTCTCTTGGGGCTGGCATTACAGTGCCACAGACTTGGTGACTTATATACCAGGAGCGGTGTCTGTAACAGTTCTGGGAGAAGAAGTCTGAGGTCTAGGCAGGGCTGGTTCCTCCTTAGGCTGTCAACACTGGTCCCAGGCCTCTCTGGTCCCATGTTCTTGGGCTTGTTGGAGCTTTGTCTGGCTTCTGCCTCTATCATCACACGAAATTTCTCTTTATGAAGACACTGAATATTGGATTTAGGTTTTGGGTCCCCCCACCACCACCAATACGGGGCATTCGACCCAGGGCTTTCACAGACCTTGTTTGTTCCAAACAGGTTGACATTCGCAGGTTGTAGGGGGAGGCCAGGAGTTGAACCTGTCTCTTGTGGAGATGCAGTTCAACAGAATGCAGTAAAACCATAATGGGGCCACGGGAAGGAGCAGTTTGGGGCCCTGAGGAGAGGGAAGCTCAGGCTTGTGGCTGGCTGGGTGTGGAGCAAGTGGGAACCAATCAGGTGCGGCTTCCTCCCTTATTCCCTCTACCTCCGCAGGCTTCATCGAGGACCCAGAGAGGAAGTATTATTTTGAGTGCTGCACCCAGGAGCAGTGTCAGGAGTGGATGGAGGCTCTGCGTCGGGCCAGGTGGGGCTTGGGGACAGCTGGGGGACCCTGGGCATCGTGGCCACGTAGGATGGGTATTTGGAATCTGACCAAGCAGGTGCTGCCCTCTCTCTCAGCTATGAGTACATGCGGAGAAGCCTCATCTTCTACAGGAACGAGATCCGCAAGATGACAGGCAAGGTGTGTGCAGAGTCAGAGGTAGCAGGGTTGTGTTCCTAGGCCTCTGGCTCATGGCCACCACCCCACCCTGTCCCCCTGCATAGGACCCCCTGGAGCAGTTCGGCATATCTGAGGAGACCAGGTTCCAGCTGAGCAGCTTGCCAAGGGACAGGCGGGCGTCTTGCGTCGGCACTCAGCTGGATGAGCTGGACTAACCCTATGCTGGGCCCTGACCTGGGTCCCCTGGCCGCACGAGGGCTTGCCCTGGGGTGTTTGGGCAGGGGCTGCATTTTTGGAGAAACTCAGCAAGCACCCCTTCCCTGTGCCTTGGAACCCACCAGCGGGTTGCCACACTCTGCTGCTAGGCGAAGTGCCCAGCCCCTCCCTCCCATGCCCCCACTGAGGACTGGGTGGGCAACTGACTGGCGAGGCCCTCCTGTCCTCTGCCAGCTGAATGTACAAAGCTAAGGGAAGCTGTGAATAGTGAGCCTCTCCCCCGCCGGCTGTGAACTCCACTGCTGCTGATGGGGGGCAGGGTGGCCTGGCCCTGGGTCACTGCACTCACTGTGTTCAATAAAGGTACCTCTTTTTGTAAACTGGATGATGGCAGAGTGGATGGTGAAGACGGGCCATGGGAGAGTGCTCCCCAACAGGGCAGAATGGAGGGGAGTCTAGGGTGCCCCAGGGCCCCACATCAGCTGTGTTTTAAGAAGTTGGGGCCAGGGGTCTTTCCCCAGCTGCAGAGCGGCTGCTGGGACTCCCTTTACCCTAGGGACAAGGGTCCCCACAAATTACCAGGAAAAAAAAGGCTGCATCGAGACCAGGTCCAAGTGAAAACTGCTTTTATTACAGCGCCGACGGGTGGGAACAGTGCAGTGGGCGCCCTGGGGAGGGGTACAGAGTTCATTACAGACACAAAGCAAAGCCAGAGAGGGGCAGATAATGGGGCATGAGGCGAGCTGTGTGTGGATGGACCATTTCACCAGGAGGAGGGCAGCAGGGCCGTGTGTTCTGTGGGAGGATAAATAGGGGGGGAGGAGTAAGTCTTAAATAAGTAGACATTCACAGGGCTCACATAAAGGGTGGGAAGCCTGGTTCCTGGTGACCAGTGGGTCAGCAGGGTCCCAAGAGGGTGGATTGTCCGGTCCTTAAGGTTTCCTGACCAATTCCTGAGCAAGAGCTTTATGGCAGCTTCCCAGGAGTTGCCCGAGGGCCAGGGCAGCACCAGTCCCCAGGCTGGGGTGGCCCAGGACAGTGGAGCCACTGCCAGCACCAGACTCCAGCATGGCCTTGTGCCACTGTCCTGCCCACCTCCTGGTGACGCGGCTCAGCAGGTCTGGGTGAGAAATGGTGCCGCTCAGGCCCAGGGTGTGGAGGAGAGGCGCTGCATATGGTTAGCTTACTGTGGGGCACAAGTCCATCCCCGTGGGCTCGAGGGGACTTGTGGCCATGCTGGATGCACCAAAACCCAGCAGTGGCTGCACTGTGGGCACGTGTTCCCGACACAGGGTACTTAGTCTCCTGACACTCAAGTATATATGTAGATACGTTCACGGGGCAGGGCTGTCAGAACACAGCCTGTGCTGTCCCGAGCTGGCACCGGCCGTTGGGCTGGCCAGCAGAAGCATACAGTGTTTGTTTAGAGAACATGATCCGAGACCAGGGACTTGCTGCCTGCTGACTTTGCTACTGTCACCTAGGGTGCTGTGTGGTGAGAGGTGACCCTTGCCCCCCAACGCCAAGCAGCGTCCGTAGGAATGAGGCGCAGCACCTAGAGGCCAGGCTGAGAGCACCAACGTCGGGGGGCGGGGGGAGTCCCCAGCACCATCTTGAGAACTCACTGCTAGGTGGGGAGGAGTGGGGGTCCAGACACAGGCTGGTGAGGCTGAGCCAACCAGAAACCCAATACTCAGGCCTTCCACATGGACACAGGACAGCACGAGCCCTGGCCAGGGCCACGGCCACAGCCAGCACATGCGTGCTAGCACCCAAGGCTGCTGGGGTGAGACAGACACCAGGACCACTCACAGCAGCCCAGGGAGCCTTTGAGGACACAGTGACAGGCAGGACCCTGGCCGCAGGTGTGGGACGTGCACTCCTGCAGGGTGTGGGGTGAGGGCCAGCCCTGCAGCCAGTGCCATTTTTGTGCATTTGAATAAATAAGATTTCTATTCCCCTTGCTTTCCTTTCTTTTTAAGCTCACTGTGCATTATACAATCTAAAAATAAATGCAGTCAAGTCTATGAAATTTATAAATTTTCATCACATCTCCATAAAATACCATCACACATCAGTGTGACTCTCTCCTATACATAAAACACTGGGGCCGGCGGCAGGCCTGCCCCACATCACCCAGCTGGCCTGCCCCAGCCACAAAGCAATGGAATACAAAAGTAACTGCACTTGTCACACGCGCCACCATGGTCAAGCACAAGCCTCCTTGAGCACCACTCAGAACAGCTTTATGCTGCACAGGCCCCTTCCCACTGCTGCTGGCCCACCGAGCGCCCCGTCAGAAAGGGCCCCGTGTGCCAGCTCCTGCCCGCCTGGCCACATGCCACAGGCAGGACCCTCAGCCAGTGGTTCACAGTCGGGTCCATCACTGTGGTGGGGTGGTGGCTGGCTGGCACAATGGCTCCAGAGGAGTGGAGTGCTGGCCGCCAGGAACAGGGCCTTCTCCAAGGGACTTTCTGACAACCCTACTCAGGGCTGTGCCTCTGGCTGGGGATGACAGGTGTCCGAGGACTGGCTTTGGCGTTGGTCAGTGTCCAGGGCAGCACCAAGAGGCGGAGGCAGGCGCGGGCCTGGTGGCCATAGCACCGGTTTGCGGTGGCGGGCGTCTCGGCGGGGCCCGCCCTGCGGCCCAAGTCTTTATATATAAGGTTCTCTCTTACATAGACATTTATACTTCTCAATAGGTTGCCTCTGACAACTCAGATGGAATAAAATAAGTCAGAATTGTTTATACTTTTTAAAAAACGATAAATACTTTATCTAAAACTATTGACAGTACAGACTGGACCAGTCCCAGCACCTCCTGTGGTGTGCCGCTGATTCACAGTGGAGCTCCTCATCCTGCCCGCCAATGCTGTCGTCCATCTGTGCTTCTGTCTGGGGCGGGAGCCTGACAGCTTGAGCACCGAACAGCAGGTGCTTGGTCCACACCGCCCTTGCATAGGTCGCGCGGGTGAGGTAGAAATCCTAGTTACCTGTGGGAACAGTGCAGAGTGGCCCGTCAGCAGTGCACATGGGGGAGCCCAGCACAGCCTGGGGGGCCGGGATGGAGGCCTCCTGTGAACAGACCCACGGCAAAGCCACTTCCCTCTGCCAGCCAAGAAAGGCCAGAGGCAGGTTCTCCTGTGGGCAAACAGGGTGCTGGGCAACTTGCCACTGCAGCAGCAGACCCTGGCATTCCTCCAGGTCTATCATGTATCACGGGGACTCAGGTTTGGGCTGTACCCACTCTACCTCTAGCACTTCTCAGGACAGAGCTCAGCTGGCCCCCCAGACCCAGGGACCAACACTGTCATCAGGAGGGCGTCACCACGCCATGGTCTTCCTGCTTCCATGTGCAAGAAGGCAGGGCATGCCGCCACCAGCCTAGCAAGCACTAGGTCCCAAGTTTGATCCCTGGTACCAAAAAAAAAAAAACACCAAAAAAACCAAACCAAACAAACAAAAAAAACCAAACCAAACCAAAACCAAAAAAGCCAGAGCAGGGCAGACAGCCCTGGTTGGCCCTCCTCTACTCCTCACCCAGCAGCACATCCCTGCCACAAACATCAGCCTCCTTGGGTGATAGGTGAGGCTGGCTGCCTTGGGACTCTGTTTCGCAGTACCTGGGATCCAAGCCAGGGTCTCAGAACTGAGCTACATCCCCAGCCACTTTTTATTTTACAATGGTCTTGCTAGGCTGCCCAGGTTGGGTTCCTACTTACAATACTGCCTCAGCCTCCCAGTGTGCTAGGATGACAGGCATGGGTCACAAGCTCGGCTTACAGCCCCAGGACCCAGCCCATTATGCACAGCAGCCTCCCCCAGGGGGGGCACTGTCACTGCCCCAAAACTCTTTCCTCCACTACCTGGTGGGCTCTGAGCTGAGGGTAGCCGCAGCCTTCCTGTGGGTGGCCAGCATCCACCCCCCCCACACAGCCTGGGCCCAGCTGTCCAGGGCGCAGAGCTCACCCAGTGGCCTCAGGGACTTCATCTAGAGTAGAGACTAAAGGCCACCGCATTTTGGAGCCTGGGCCTCACGGGCCTTGGACTTTCTTAATACCCCATGGGATAACTCAGCAACTCTGTGTGGACAGCCTGTAGCAGCCTCTCCGGGGCTGCGCCTACCATCTCCCAGCTGCCACCTTTCCCAGGCTGGTGGGAAGAGCCAGGAGTGCACTGGCCCTGACCCTCTGGGCCTCTGCCCACAGCACCCACTACAGCTGCCCCACTCCCAGGTACTCTCCTGCACTGCAGGCGAGGGCTGTGCAAGCCCATGACCAAGAGGACTGGGCAGCCAGGGTCCTGATACTCTCCTCCTACTGAGCTCCTGGCAGGCCCTGTTGCCTCCCCTCCACCTCAGGTAGACCAGCCCACCCTTCTGGCCACAACGGTTCAGCAGCCTTGACCCAGGCCCTCTACAGGCCCTTCTCTGTGCAGAGGGAAGAATGATTTGGTTTCGGAGTGAACCATCTCATTTGGCTCTAGCCTTACCTTACAAAATAGGAACTGCTAGCTAAGCAAGCTCTTTATCGGGGCTTAACCCCCGAAAGGTGCGCAGCATAAGGAGGCGGCATGCCAAGAGAAACCCACACAGCGGACGGCCCCGTGGAGCTGGCTTGTGGGACGGCGGGCGCAGCCTGCGCCAGGGCCAGCCGGGACAGGGGCTGGTGGTGCACCGTGAAGGAGGGGCGGGAGGCCTTGTGCGGGAGGGAAGTGAGCTTGACAGACAGAGAGGCGTTAGCAGGCTGCAGAGAGGCAGCAGAGGAGAGGGGTAAAAAAGCTTTGTTAGCTGGGATGGACGCTAGGTTCTGCAGAAGCACGGGCTCAGGGTTAGAGGCCAGCAGCGCAGGGGGAGGAGGCAAGGTGACGTTAGGAGGAGGGGGTGCATGGAGGATGCCCAGGTGCTGAGGAGGAAGCGGGGGAGGTGGAGGGGGCG